TTCCATTTTCACTATTAGAAATCCTAATCTTGATCACTTTGGTGTTTGAGAAAATGCATTTGATTATCGTATACACATTAAACAGAAATGCCATTAGTAAGCCGCTCTTTTGGGAAAAAGAAATGAACTCAATGTTTTTCTCATTTTGTTTATTGTCAAAGTTGAATTTTAACTATTAAAATGTTAAGATAAAATGTTTTCCCTACCTACCTACCTGCCCTATTTTTTCTCAGGTTGGTATAGGAAACACACTATTTATTTATCTTGGCCTAAGGAGAACATAACTTTGAAATGGGGTGTGGCAAAATCAATCAGCATCAATGCAATCTTCATTTATTTTCTTCTTTACTCCTGGACATTAAGCAGGCAAACTGTTGGTATAATGTCAACATGGTCAGTAAGCAGTAACCCTTTATCAAAATTGTGAAATTTTAGGCCCCGGGTTCACGATTCAGGTCCAGGATGGGACTAAGTTGGTAATACATTGAAAATTCATTATATCTTCTTTTTCACTTGTGAAATCATGCACAGATGAGTACTCAACCTTTTGCTGATTATGAAACTTATGGACCCTTGGTCCATGGTTCAGACCTTAGGGTGGGGCTTTTAATGAAATATTGAAAATACATAACATCTTAGAAAATCTGCTCTACTCACAGGCATTAAACACAGGCAGTTTATTTCTGTGATTATAATATATGCTTAGCCTTCTACCAGAATTATGAAATTCATGGCTGCCTGGCCCATTGTTCAGACTGCAGGATGGGAGTAGGTTAATCATATATTACCTTTGAAACATTTGCAGTGAGTCCTTAACCCATTTCAAAAAATTGTGAAATTCATGGATTCTGGATCCAGCATTCAGACCTACGGTTGGTCATATACATGTATTGAAAATACATTTAAATCTTTGATTATAGTACTTAACCTTTTACCAAAATAGTAATGATACATGTCATCTTGGTCCAGCATGGTCTTAATAAAAAATTAAGCCTTCAACAAAATTGTGATATTGTGACTCATAGTACAAGCTCCAGGACACAGCTAAGTTGATCTTATATTGAAAGTTCATTACTTCTTTGAAACGATATTTTTCATTACTCACAGAAATAAAACAGGCAAATTGTTTGATTGATTTTATGAAATGAGCATTTCGCACTCTACAAAAGTTATAGTCCAGGGATCAGGTCCCAGAGTTTGACAAAACTGGTCATACATAGAAAGTTTCTATAGAGTGTACCATATCTCTACTCCCGATTCTAAGACAAGCTGCATGAATGTGATAATGATTATAGTATCCTCACCAAAGTGTAAAATTTTTGTCATGTGAGACCAGAGTTCCAGTTTTGGCTAGAGTGGACATAGCAAGAGAAACTCGAGATTCTCAATTGACTGTCGAGGCCCTTGAGTGGTCATAGCAAGAGAAAATCATGATACTGTCATTAGGCCCTTGGGCCTCTTGATAATTTATGTTATGGACGTAATTTCATATTAAAATTATTCTGCTTTCACAAAAGATTGAGTTTGGCATAAAAAATGCAATCGTAATTTTCAAAATTTTCATGATTCAAAAATGCACATTGATTTTTGAGGGGGAGAAATTTGGTTAATAAGTTTTTATGAAATAAATCATTGCTATAAAAATGAATTTGATATCTTAATTAAGTGTCTGATTTTGTCATAGTATCTACCACTGTACCACAGAAATGAGGCATTGAAGGGAAATTAACTCCAATATGAAGGATTCATTCTCTAAAAACAATTACAGGCAGACAGACTGCATTGAGAAAACTTGATAATCATCATGCGGAAAACCAGCTATATTTAAAAGCAGACATAATCAATTCTACATTTTGTAATTTAACAGGAGACGCACGATTTTTATCAGAAAATGGACTGGAGTGTAATGATGTTCTAATGTCTTCATTATCAACAGTCAAAGTCTGTTTCTTGGCTATGGTATTTGTCAAAAAATCTACATTGGTCTCTCAAATTGTCAGAAGAACAGACACGAAACTCTCTTCTTTTTCTGCTACTTTATTTAATTTAAGCACAAAGTTGCGTTGTGTAATTAAATCAAGCATTTCTGTTCACTATTTTCTTTTCAGGGCTCATCATGAAATATGATTCATCATCTGTTTGTTGTTTTTAATAACTTAGAATTGATGATTGGAATGGAATGTGGAAGTATATTGCTTCTAAAATGCTAGCTATTTGGTACAGAGAAAAATTTTCACTCCCATCTTAGAGGTTATCAATAGCATGTAAGCAATAGGAAAGTTTGTCTGGATGTCTCAGTCAAAGAGTTTACGCAACCGTTTTGACCTTTAAAATCTCTCACCATCTCATATATCTATGACCTTCAAAGAATTAAAGTGTTTTTCTTAGAACTAATAATATTTGGAAAAGCTCTTGTATTTCAGAGGTTGCATTGGTTGCTTTTATGGCTAACTAGTCTGGCTGTCTGTGCAGATGACCTTTTCTTTGTCATACCAACATTAAGTTGCATCCATATCATCCACTTCAAATTAAAATAATGTTGGTCTTTTTTTGAAAAGAGACTGGATTAAAAAAGAAAAATCTTTGGGAAAAGGGGGAGGGGAGAAAAAGACAACCAAAAAAAAAAGTTTTTCTGTTTTCAGACAATAGTTGAATTATGAACTATAAAGTACTGGGCATGCAATCAATGCAATATATGCAAAGCGATATGTCGCATGTTAACCGCGTTGCTGAGTCATGGGTCTCACAATCAGCCTTGATCTAGCCATGTATTGATTCATGTTAATGCTTTCATAGATTTTGATAATATTCATTTTTTTTCAATGTTTGTTCATGCCCAATTGAGCTTTGATGTAACTTATTTTTGCTTCTGCCATGGAAAAAAAAATGAGAGCAAAGAATTTTAATTGTCTGGAAGATATGCAGTGTCATTCATAATTCTTTGTTTGCAGGAAGTATACAACTAGGTCTAAAATGAAATATGTTTTTTAATGAGATATCATGTCTCAGTTTCTTGAGACTTGAACACAAAAACTGTAAAGATCTAAGACACAACCGAGTGGGTTTGGTAAATTTGCATAGTTCTCTTTTTTGATGAAGGAAATGTGTGGTGATATTGGTTGGCAACAAAGTGAAGACACATAATTCAGTTTTGCCAAACTGACATCACTGTATGTGACCTCTTTTTGATGTAGATGTCTGCTTTTACTGAAGTCAAATTGCTTAATGTTTCAAGCAAGTGTGGATCTAGGAATTTATTTGGGTCTTCATTTCGTAGCAAAATTTTCCAACCGAAAATATTCTGACATGCAAAAAAAAAGGGGGTGGGCTGGGATGGCTAAGTCATCTTCAGTAGTCAGATGTGCAGGGATGATGTATAGGGATGCACACTACCAGACAATGCTTTGGATGCTGCATCTGACCTTCATTTTCTAGATGATTGACGAAAGTTTTTGGAGTAGGTCCAAGTAAAATTCTGTAAGCCTTACCTGGTCAAAATTTGCATGGAAATCACATCTACGGATGTACACTACCAGACCTGCTTTGGATGATTGCATCTGACCTACAATTTTTAGATGATTAAACAGTTTAAGTTTTTAGTTAAGATTATTTTGGACAAACTTCCTAATCTTGTATTATCTTTCTTATTTCAAGATATTTATTTTTATGCCCTATGGTCAGGGGCATATTAATTTTGCTAAGTCATCTTGTCTGAAACTTCGATTCTGGCCATAACTTTCAAACTATAAATGATAGACATCAATATGCTTAAGTAAAAGTAAGAGCTATACATCTGATAGAAGTTGGTCGTCAAGTGTTAGATGGATCTGTTTTATATATGTGCTTTTGCCAGCTAAAGAAGATGGTTGAACATGATGCGAAAAGCCTATAGTGTGACAAACATGAAGGTGAAAAAGTAAATTTTAATTATATCAAAAATTTCCTTGATATTTCATCTAACATTAAGATATACTTTATGTAAAATCTCTACAATTTTCAAAAATCTCACAAAGATTGAAATTATTTGCTTATGAAGTATTATACACACACTGAAGAGGGCAAAAAGAGTCATTTTCTCAAACTATAACACTGTTTTTTGTTATGAGTGGGTCTTCGCTCCATTTTTTTAAAAGTTAATCCCCAAAATTTGCATGAAAATCTACATTTTTTGGTTTCCAAAACATGGAGCAAAGACCCACTATACCTTAAAAATATACTTTTATGACATAGCATTGGCATCTTTTCGAGAAATACTTGAAGTCCATAAAGTCAAAGGTCATATCACAAACATGATTTAAATGCCACTGTTCATCAGGACTTGGGTAGTCTAGTGGTTAGCGTGCTAGTCTCGAAAGAAAATGATAGGATTTTTATTGCTAGGGTTCGAATCCCACGAATACCACATTTTTAAAATAAAAGAATAAATTTTGCTGAGAAAATTTTCCTCAGAAAAGTTTTGTTTATTATAATTTCATAAATTTCAATAATGAGAACTTTACTCTAAATACTAAATTCACAAATTGAAATGATTTTTATAAATCAGAAGCTATAGGCTTTCTGCACACTATGTTCACCCATCTCCTTTGACAAGTTGATGTCAGTCAATTCCAGGACAGAAAAAAAATGTTCACTTGAAGTAGTCATTTAAAATGATGTAATTCATTAAGCTGTAAGTTTAAAAGTTTCAGAAGTTATAGTCTATTTATTTAGTTTAATTGTTTCAGAAGTTATGGTCTAGTTATGAAGTTCAATTGTTCTCTTGATTTCCAAGCCTTGGACTTAACAAATGCACATTGAAATTGCTACTCACAACCGGTTTCAGGATATCTAAAATATATGGTATGCCCCTTGTAATTGTTTAGTAACTACAGATGGTCAAGAATTTCTATGCATGGAAGCATTGTTTCTGCTTTAATAAGATTGTAGTTATATTGTCTTAAATGTTCAGTGAACTATTTGAAGCAAACTCAATTCACTACATGTATTTTATTTCCTTTCAGCAGTCTGCAGCTTCACTTACTCCAAGAAGGAACGAATTGATGTAGTGTCTCTAGATTACCAGAAGAAAGGTTATGACAAATGTGAATACCTGATCAAGGCCCCTCCTGACAGCAACATTATAGCCCTAAACTTCACTGATCTAGTGGGATTTCAGTCCTCCATTGGTACAGTGCCAGACCCTCGATCAGGTCAAGTGGGATCTAATCCTGAGGATCTTCTACCTTGTTTACCACCTGAGCTGACCATTAGTGATGAAACAGAAGGACATCATGGTGTAGTCAGCAGCAAGATTTGCAAATCTCAGAATTACCAAACCCCTCATGTCTTTCATTTCAAATCCAATGTGTTAAAGATCATATATGTATGGGTAGAAGATGAGAAGAGTAGTTTCACCTTGGATATAAATTTTCAGCAGAGCTTCAGTAAGTATTTGTATAGATTAATATTTATACTGGTCAGGAAAAAAGCTCAATGCTCAAATAATCACATTATACTAGATACTGTATTTTATTTGGGCCAAAAAAAAAAAAGAAGAAGAAGAGCATATTACATTTTCCTTGGAAAAAGAGTACTCTGCAGTATTCAAGGTGTTGTACATCAGAAATTCTCTACAACCATTTGATTTAATAAATATAGGTCTTGAATCAGATTTCTACATATACTGTATATCACAGCTGGTTATTAGTTCAATAAGTGCACAATTTCTGTGATCAAGATGGAAATTTTAGTTTTCCCAGATTAATTTTTTCAGGGATTGTTTTAGAGTTAAGCTTCTTAAGGTATTTCACGACTAAAACTAGTGCATTTGGTGCAGATCATGGTGCCTGTTCATTAAACCAGGAAAATCCAGGTTAATCAAAACACTGTTTTTAGCTCACCTGAGCCAAAGGCTCAAGTGAGCTTTTCTGATCACATTTTGTCTGTAGTCTGTCTGTCCGTCAGTAAACTTTTCACATTTTCGACTTCTTCTCCAGAACCACTGGGCCAATTTCAACCAAACTTGCCACAAAGTATCCTTGGGTAAAGGGGATTCAAGTTTGTTCAAATGAAGGGCCACGCCTTCTTCCAAGGGGAGATAATCAAGAATTCGTGAAAAATCAATGACATCATTAAAAAATCTTCTTCTCAAGAACCACTGTGCTTGAAAATATGAAACTTATGTGGAAGCATCCTCAGGTAGTGTAGATTCAAGTTTGTTCAAATCATGACCCCCGGGGATCGGGTGGGGCCACAATGGGTGATCAAAGTTTTACATAGGAATATATAGGAAAAATCTTTTAAAATCTTCTTCTCAAGAACAGCAATGCCATGATTGGTCATATTTACATGGAAGCATCCTCAGATAGTGTAGATTCAAGTTTGTTCAAATCATGACCCCCGAGGGTCAGGTGAGGCCACAATGGGCGATCAAAGTTTTACATAGGAATACATAGTAAAAATCTTTTAAAAAAAACTATTTCTTAAGAATAGCAAAGCCATGATTGGTCATATTTATATGGAAGCATTCTTAGATAGTGTACATTCAAGTTTGTTCAAACATGACCCCTGGGGGTCGGGTGGGGCCACAATGGGTGATCAAAGTTTTACATAGGAATACATAGGTTAAATCTTCAAATTTGTTCAATTCATGAACCCCCCCTCCCCCCCCCCTCCCCAACCACTTTTATATTTAAACTTTTCAACCTTTCAAGACTGAACTGATTTCTGCTTTTTCTTAGCCATAGTGCTCAGGTGAGTGATGTGGCCCCTGGGCCTCTTGTTTTTTTATGCCCCCGTAATCGAAGATTTGGGGGCATGTAGGTTTTGCCCTGTCTATCCTTCTTTCTGTCTGTTTGTCCATAAAAACTTTTTCATTGCCCAATACTTTGATTGGTTGGAGCTATGGCTTTCATATTCCACATGTGTATTCCTTGTGAAAAATCCTTTCTTTGGGTACCATCATATTTGAGATTTGGACCTTGGAGTTCGACCCCATTTTGCAAAATTTTACCTAACTTTAACCTTGGCAATAACTTTAACCTTGGCTGTAACTTTCGAACAATTGGTGGTAAGGCTTTCATACTTCACATGTGTAATCCTTGTGAAAAGACCTTTCTTTGGATACCAACAACTTTGACCTTTGACCTTGACCTAGGAGTTTGACCTACTTTTAAAAACTTTAACCTTGGCCTTAACTTTTGAATGGTTGGTGCTAGGGCTTACATACTTAACATATGTACTTCTTGTGACAAGACCTTCCTTTGGATACTAACAACTTTGACCCTTTGACCTTGACCTTGGAGTTTGACGTACTTTAAAAAAATCTAACCTTGGCAATAACTTTTGAATAGTTGGTGCTAGGCCTTTCATACTTCACATGTGTATTCCTTGTGACAAGACCTTCGTTTGGATACCAACAATTGTAGCCCATTGACCTTGACCTTGGAGTTTGACCTACTTTTGGAAAACTTAAACTTCGACTTTTACTTTTGAATAGTTGGTGCTAGGGCTTTCATACTTTACTTATGTAATCCTTGTGACAAGACCTTACTTTGGATACCAACAACTTTGAGCCTTGACCTTGACCTTGGAGTTTTACCTACTTTTGGAAAACCTTGGCCATAACTTTTGATCGGATGGTGCTAGGGCTTTCATATTTCACTTGTGTATTTCTTGTGAGAAGGCCTTTCCTTGGGCACTATTAATTTTGACCATTTGACCTTGACCTTGATGTTTGATTTACTTTTGAAAAAACTTTATTAACCTTTTCCATATATATTCAGTGGTTGCTGTTAGGGCTTTCATATTTCACAGGTATATTCCTCGAGACAAGACCTTCTTTTGGTACCAACATATTTGATTTGCATTTGAGAAAGTTCAACCTTCACTATAAGTTGCCATATGGGGGCATCAAAATTTCACAAACACATCTTGGTTTTTTTTCAGTTATATCCTTGCATATATTGGTCTTTTGAAAAGGACAAGTGCACTTAAGCAATAGAGAATGGGCCCTTTTCAGTGCCGTTTTAATACAGAATATATTACCAAATCCTTGTCTGATGGTAATAGTTAAACACTAGTGGATATTTCTAATTCAAAATCACCTTAAACATCACCTAAATCACATGGATTTTAAACAACTGGAGATTTTTTAAATGCCTATAGATACACCAAATTCCGAAAAGTTGTACCGAACCTATTTGAGTTTCATCTATTTAAATCAGGGGGAGGAGACATTTAAACATCTGCACTTGAACATCATCGACGGGCACGTTTGCCGAATGATACGTCTTGCGTTATATTACATGTAACTATTAAAAAAAAAATCGAATGACCGTAGCTGCAGATTGCCTGTAGCCATAGTGATCAAACTAAGAATAACAACGAGTCAAAAAGTTTGTGCAAATTATTTTCATTTAGCGTTGTAATAATTAACTTCAAACAATTGTTGATTAATTATTTTTTCCTTCTGTATTTTTAAAAAAAAAAACCCATTGGAAACAAGCATGGAAGCTTTAATAGGTTATCCTGATATCAAATATATGTATAGTCATGTATGTATACGCAATTGATTCTATTTATTTATAACTGCATATTATGGCTTTCCGTACCGGTACCATCAATATCGTCTTTCATAAATGTTAAAAATGTTTGACATATTTATGTATGATATTTTAAACGACACTAAGCTCTTTTTACCCGCCTGTTTTTCATAAAACCAAATACATGCAAACATCTATAAAGCAGCACGACTTTGGCGAGAGATACATGTACAAAACATGGTGTGTTTTGCGATGAGCACTTTTGAGGAATGTTTACTGGGTATAACTCACGTAACTATTTCAAATAATTTATTCCACAGGTGGGTTCAACAAAGGTCACACAGGTAAATAGCTTTCGCTTGCTATAGGGACCACATCTAATTTTTCATACATTTTCAACATTTTAAGTACCAGCCTAATGTTGTACAAATTTCCTACTTTCACACAAGTTTTATAAATGTTTAATGTGACTTTTGTCTATGGTGCAAGTTTGTACAATTTTAGGCTGACAATAAACAAAGGCTTTGAAATGAATGCCTGTCCCCAATTTACTATTGAAAATTACAAATGTGGCTGACCCCTACCACATTGTATGGCTTTGCTCTTTGTATAAGCATGAATTTCAGCGCTAAAATTTGTTGAATCTTATAGTTTAGATATCAATTGATGATGTGAGATGAAAAATTATGTTTAATTTGAATTTTCATTTTTTCACCTTTTACAGTCCCTAAAACGTTCTACTTTCCCATTTTTCCGTTCGCTCACCGTTCGTTCAGCGTGCGTTCACCGTTCGTTCACCGTGCGTTCACCGTTCGCTCTCCGTTCACAGTTTTGCGTTCACCGTTCACCGTGCGCTCGCGTTCACCGTTCACAAAGCGTTTAGCGTTCGCTCTTCGTTCCGTTCACTTTGCGTTCACCTTGCGTTCAGCGTTCACCTATCGTTCAGTTTTCATTGTCATTCGGAACTCCGAAGTGAAAGGACTTATCTTTTTGTAGTTAAGGAGTTACAGGTTTTTTTTTTTAAATTTATTAACTAACATATCGTGTTTGAAGAATCATTATTTCATGAGGAAAAATATCTACGATATATATTTTTATTATTCTAACTTAGCTGTTAGGTTATTTATTAAATTACTCTGGAAAATAAATGTTGTTACAAAATATAATAGAACTAGTTCTGAGAGTGATACATAGTACTGCGGATATCCTGTTAATTTATTATCTTTAGAACGAATTAAATTGATAGTGTGGTTAAAGGAAATATTTATTTCAAATGTAATGCACTACAAAATTTCTCTACTGTAATATGTAAAGTCTATAGTTATAGAGAATAAAATCTTTCTTCACCGTTACTTTATATGTTTGCCATTCGATATGATTAATACCCCCCCCCCTTTCCCCCTAAATCGGTGACTTAGTCAGTACCGTATTTCCAGAATATTTTAATTAACATTTAAAAAAAAAAGCTACGGTCTTTTTTAGAACAAAAATTTAAGTCTCAAAACAAACATGCATCTAAAAAAGTCACAAAACAATAGTAGATCAAAATGTACACGTGTCGGCGGTGGTATTTGAAATTGGCAGAGAGTATGTTTCACATTCAAGTGTTAATGCTGAATGTATTTTACTAATTTATTATTCAAATGTTGGAATCAAATCTAGAAATGATAAAAATAAATGTTATAACTTGTTGGAAATACTCGCACTTCCTCTTCGATGTGACGAAACTTTCACACCTGCACAGTGTCGAATGATTTTGATTGACAGGACAAGCACGTGGACTTCGTGTGAACTTGAAGCAGGAAAATAAAAACGAGTATGACTGTCAAACAAATGGATATGATTCGTTGATATAAAAAAAAGTTACTTTCACTGTCTGATATATTTAGAAAAAAATTTCAGAGTTTTTGTTTGATATAGGTACAAACATTTGGTGAAGCCTGAAAGGGGGGGGCTAAAACTGAATATTACTCTCTCTCTCTCTCTCTCTCTCTCTCTCTCATTTGTCTGTCTAATAAAAACTATAACACCATATTGCTTAATTATCAAGTTCTGAAAATTGAATTTATAACAAATAATATGAATATGTATCTTTGTATCATCTTATCCGAGTATAATCACGGCCATCTAGAGATACATGTAGACGTCTGCTCAATAAATCATGATGAAAAATAGAAATGACACATAATATGTTATTGTATTAAAAATTTAAAATACGAGCATATAAATGTAATTATTTTTTTTTTCATTACTTTACACGAAATCGCCTTGACACGGAGATATATATATGAGTATAAGTTACAACCGCTTTAATTCATTCTATAAATCATAAGTTTTCTCTGATTTGTTATCAACTAAGAATAAACATTTTTATTTTCCAACTAAAAATAATATCTTTTATACTTCAGCGTTCGGCAACAATTGCAATGTTTTAATGCGATAAAAATCGTGTGATTAAAAACTTAATGTGCATGCAGAATTTATTTTATTGACTTATTTATTCATTCATTTATTTGTTTACTTATTTATTATTTGTTTTTTTTTTTTTTGGTTTTGTTTTGTTTTGTTTTTTTTTTGGCACCTGACATTATAATACAATAAAATAGTTTCAATGCAAGGAAAAGATCAGAGGCATTCCGAATATATCGTTCATCTTGCGTTCACCGTTCGTTCACCGTTCACTTTGCGTTCGCGTTTGCGCTCCGTTCGCGTTCTGCGTTCGCTCACCGTTCACCGTTCACACATCGTTCACCAAGTTGCGTTCAGCGTTCACACATCGTTCACTCACCGTTCGCTCTGCGTTCGTTCAGCGTTCGTTCACCGTTCGTTCAGCGTTCGCTCACCGTTCAAGTGGGAAAGTAGAACGTTTCAGGGACTGTACCGGAACCCATAAGTGCACTAGTTCTTTACAGAAATGTCAAAAATGGAAGGGTCTGGCAGGTCTATTGGTCATTTTGTTTCTGGAACAAAATGAAATCATGAAACTATCAGACCAACTTGTCAAACATGTAGTATGTCTATGTAAGGTATTTAAGTCACCCTTTTGACTTTTGCTACCTGTTTTCTGATCAGATTTTGTCCGGTATCCCTCTGTCCATCGGTAAACTTTTCACATTTTCGACTTCTCACGAACTACTTGGCCAATTTCAACCAAACTTACCACAAAGTATCCTTGAGTAAAGAGAATTTAAGTTTCTTCAAATGAAGGGCACACCCTTTTCCTGAAGGAGATAATTAAAGAATTACCGGTAGTGAAAATTTAATGTCAACTTTTAAAGAACCACAGGGCCAGAAAAGATGAAACTTAAATGGAAGCATCCTCAGGTAGTGTAGATTCAATTTGTTCAAATCATGACCCATGGGGGTAGGATGGGGCTACAATAGGTGACCACAGTTTTGCATAAGAATATATAGGAAAAAATCTTTAAAAATCTTCTTCTCAAGAACCAACGGGCCAGAAGAGTTGAAAGCTTATTAAAAGCTTCATTATTTAGTATTGATTCAAATTTGTTCAAATCATAACCTAATGTGGCCCCACCCTACCCTCAAGGACATGATTTGAACAAATTTGAATCTAGACTACCTTATGCCTTGTTCACATGGAGAGTTTAGTTCAAATTAAATGCAAGTTACTCTGGAAGTTTCCTGAGGAAGTGTAGATTTAAAATTATTCAAATCATGACCCCTGGAAATAGGGTGGGGCCACAATAAGGGATAAAAAGTTTTACATTGAAATATATGAAGGAAAAATCTTTAAAAATCTTTTCAACAACCATAGTGACTGGATTAGAAAGATGAAACTTATGTGAAAGCTTCTAGACATAATATAAATTCTAAATTTTTCAAGTCATGGACCCCAGGTTTAGGGTGGTCAGACAAGGCGAAAATTTATCACCTTTTTTATTTTCTCTGTATATCAGTGACTTAGAAAATTATCTTACAGAAAGGAATGTTAATGGCTTAGAGAATTTGTCTAAAGAGATTGAAGATGATCTTACCGTTTTTATCAAACTGTTTATATTATTTTATGCAGATGATACTGTTATTTTGTCTGAAACTGCAAATGATCTTTAACATGCATTAAATGAATTTTCTGCATATTGTAAAACATGGAAACTCCATGTTAATGTTAATAAAACAAAAATTGTCATTTTTTCAAAAGGACCATCACCCAAACATACATTTAAATACAACAACGTTTTTAGAAACTGTAAAAGATTTCAATTACTTAGGATTTTATTCTCAAGATCAGGGTCATTTTCAAAGGCTAAGAAACACTTATGTAATCAAGCACAAAAGGCAATGTATGGCATTATAAGAAAAATTCGTTTATATAATCTACCTTTTGATTGTCAGCTAGATCTGTTTGATAAAGTTGTTCCTGTTTTGTTATACGGGTGCGAAATATGGGGATTTGAAAATATTGATATTATTGAACGTCTACGTCTACATTTAAGAGTTTTGAAGTATATTTTAAACCTAAAATCTAGTACACCGAGTTTTATGGTATACGGGGAGACTGGATGTTACCCGATGTACGTATGCATTTATACAAGAATGATATCTTTCTGGGGGAAACTGTTACATGGAAATGAGAATAAGATTTGTAGAATTATTTATTTACATCTTTATAATAAATATACCAAAAATGGAATCAATAATCCATGGATATCTTGCATACAGAATATTCTTAACACTGCAGGACTATGTAATGTTTGGAATGATCAAAATTTTCATATTGTTAAATGGATTGCGACTGCAATAAACCAAAAGCTTAAAGACCAATTTTTACAAAAAATTGTATAATGATATGAATAATTCCAGTAAAGGTATTACATATAGAATTTTTAAAACAAAGTTTGAATGTGAAAAATACTTAACTATTTTACCAAGAAAATTTAGAAATATCTTTTCAAAATTCAGAATAAGTTTCCATAGAGGTGGGTAGATGGAATAATGTTGAAAGAAATGAAAGAGTGTGCTATTTATGTAATAATAATCAAATTGGAGACGAATTTCATTACTTACTGGAATGTAATGTATTTTGTAATATTCGAAAAGATTTTCTGTTAAAGAAATACTATGTACATCCAAATATTATAAAATTCTGTAATTTAATGACAAATGCTGACCCAGCATTCTTAAGAAAATTGTGTATATTTATCATCAAAATTTTTGACACTGTCTGTCCTCCTGTAATCTCTGCTCATCCATAATTATTGTAAATATGTATATATATGTACCTCTTGTACCATTCATATGGTTTTTGAGAGAATAAATGAATGAATGAATGCCACAATAAGGGATCAAATTTTTGCATAAAACTTTACAAGAATTTTTTTTAAAAAGTCTTTTGAAGAAACACAATAGAACAATTAATTTGCGCACATTCCAGTGCTGTGCAAATTTATATTTTCTTTTTTTTAATTATAGACCCCGAGTTTTCTAAAATCAGGATCAAATTTTACATAATGCATGTATACAGGAGAATAATTTTCTTCTCCATAACTGCAAGGCCATGTTAGTCATATTGGTATTGAAGCATTCCCATGTTGTGTGGAATCAAAGACCCCTTAGAGTTAGAGTTGGGCCATAGTATGGGGTCATAATTTTTCCAGGAAATATTAAAATCCTCAGTCTGAAAATCTGCTAAAGAACAGCACAGCTAAAGCAACTCAGGTGAACATTGTGGCACATGAGCATCTTGTTCATTTTGATGTGGAAACATTCCCAGGTGATGTAGATTCAAATTTGTTCAAAACATAGCCTTAGAGACTATGTTGGGACATGAAATGTCTAACAGATAGAGCATTTGCAAAAACAATAGGGCCACAAAGTTGTTAAATAGAAAATAAGCTTCAAAACACAGTAAATTAATTAAAATTGTTGAAATGCATAATGATTTGTGAATAAGAGTTGTGAACATAACATTGGCAGAAGACGAGACTTTTTATTATGGAATAATTAGGTTTTTTTTCAAAGAATACTGTAAATCAACTTTTATTTGTGTGCGAGAAATATCCGTGACCTACTTTAACTCGCGAATATTAATTGCCATTTATTTTGCTTTGTATTTGTAGAGAATGTTAATCGTCATGGATCGATTTTAAACGAACTAATCGCAAATAAAAGATGACGCGAATAATAGTTGGTTTACAGTAGGTATTTGTTATCAGGATAAAATGACATGGCATTTTTCTGGTTATTTTGAAAGGGTATTCAATGTGCTGAGTGCTGATATCCAACCCTAGCCTTGATTTTTAAGTTCTGAGCTATACCTTTTTTTTGGTCTCACATCTTTAGAAAAGTGTGAATTGATACTTTCCTCAGAAAGTTGCCTTTACATGTGATTGTTTTATTCTTTAAAGATCTACTTCAATTTATTTTTTTAGTTTTTATTGTGGTCAACTTAAAATAAACTAGGTGAAGAATTGGTTTTCTTTCCCTGTCTACCTTTCTCATTGGTTAAAAAGTATCCAATGATGAAAATGTCAGACATTTTGTAGAGTGATCTCTCAGAATGAGTTATTTTTTCCAAAAGGTAGGAAGTATAGATAATGTGATATGTTTTAGACAGTATTATCATTGAAATGATGAGGAGGCTATTTAATAATGGAATACTATCTTTGATTTTTCAGATAACTGTGTTTTTACTTGTGATGGTACCCACTGTTTGGAAAATAAGAGTTTGATTTGTGATCAAGTATATCACTGTCGGGACAAATCAGATGAGCACAACTGTCCCCAGTCCTCCATAGGCACAGTTCCCAGTAAGTATTTACTATATATGGAAAAGTCCTTTTAAGCATTGAATTATTATTTTTGATGTCGTCTGTCATACAATGGCACCTGGCCATGCTGAAAAATTGAGTACTGTGTGTTGAAGCAATATGATATTTATTGGCATGGCCGACAGCATCAGAAAATAATAATTCAGTGCTTATATTTACTTTCTCTAATTTTCTGTCTTTATAAATGTTCATTTTTAATTCGTCTTTATGATAAATTTATCACATTTCAGAACTTGTGTGGATAAAAGAAGCACCATTTAAACAGGGAAAGTTAAATAACAAAATGAATATTGCGAGAGAGAAAAAAAGACAAATTCTAAATGTAAAATTATTATATTTTTACAGAATTTAATTGATTAATTATTTTCAATTTAAACTGAGCAAAACACATTATTGTCTTTTAATGTAATGAAAGCGTATCTTACACCATGACAAGGTTTTGAGTGCATATAAAGGGTGGTAAAATGATTTGGATTTCCAACGGATTTCAACAGAAAAATACACTGAATTTAAATATTGGGACGTGAAGATTCAAGGTCTAAAGCTGCACATAAAATTTTAATGCTTATGTGCCAATTCAGATTTTGCTAAAAAAAAAAAAAAAAGAGGTTGCCGTCATGGGCACCAACAGTTATGTTTTAAACTATGGGGGGGGGGGGGGGGATTTATATTTATATCGGAGAGAAAAAAAAACTACACATATAATACTATACAATAATTGCTGTTATTGAGTCAATATGATGATTTAGCGACCTGAGGAATACAATATTCACAGATCCTGATACAGTAATTATAATATAAAATTCATGTCTCCAAGGTCTGGACATCAGATCCCCAGGGCTGGAGGCTATTTATGAAATTTATTATAGTGTACCTTACCCTTCTAGGAGACTAGCCACATGAATTATAGGATCCTCACCAAAGTGTAAAATTTAGGAAAAGTTTCAGGTGGTTTAAAGTGCCAATAGCCTAAGAGACTAATAATACTGTGAAATCATTTATTTCCATGGGGTTAAATTTTCATTGTTTTCAAGGTATGAAGAGACCTATGAATTCAAGTCCACCATCAAATGTAAAATTCATATACACAACTACTTAATTCTTGGTCCACAAAATCAAGTCCCCATGAACTAATATTTTTTCCTCCAACCATGAAGAAAGTATGTGATATTTTACAGTACTTAGGAGACTTTCAAGACTTATGAGTTTCTTGTTACTTAAATACTTTTGTGTTCATTATTCAAAAATACACAGTAAAATATGAATATTTTGTATTACCTTATCTTGTTTATGAAACCCCTACCTTTCGATTAAAAATATTTATAGCATCTAGTTAGACTTTTCTAGTTTGTGGTATTTCACACAATGTCATTTTTGTTCCTATTGAGTAACCACACCTGAAAGTCTGAGCAAGACAGGTCCTACTGAGAGTTGCATCACATTTCCTACTGAACTCTGTATTAACGTCTAGACAACATTAATAAGAAAATGAGGAAGGGCTTAACTATTAGCCAGAAAATAACTGTGTACAGCAGTTATCAAGGTACTTTGTGAAGTAATACTTTGTGGTCATTTAGATGCAGCTCATTTGTAGTGACCTATTTGAAAGGAGAACTTGGGTACTTTAAGCTTGATCTTTTACGTCTAAGGTTGAATGTACTTCTTCAGTATTTGGAAATAATCAACTTGTGTTTTTTGGGGAGTCAGTATATGAAACTTGTTATCTCTAAGACACCGGAAAAGAAAATAAGAGGAAAACTGAGGTTTTGTCTCAAATCTACTGGATTATATAAATATTTTGATATAAAGAGGCTGAAGGATACGGGTTCATCAACAGAGTAATGAGCACATGATAAAATATTGGAAAAAAGTTTGAGCCATTACATCTTCATGCATTATGGCTTGCAGAGTGTTGAAAGGCAGGTTCCTGGTTTAGTTGCTGTGTCCAATGAGCTGCTAACATCTCAAGTGTTGAGGGAGAAACTGAAGAGGAATCGTCTGTCAATGCCCAAGTATTGATCTGAGGCATAGACGATCTTGTGTCACAGTATTGCAAAATTGAATTTGACAGTCGAAGCGTGTCTGCATTGGGCTTCAGGGTCAAGGTCAGGGGTTCATTCTGCGGTCATGTCATAAAAAAGGAACACAGATGTCAGAAGCTTCATCATCATGTAACAGCCGTAAATGATCTGAATTCATGCAAGATTAGGATGCACTAAGGGTTATCAGACTCTCATTGCAGAGTTAAATCCAGAGTGCTTTCATTTGCGTAGAGCATTTTCATTCTTTAATTACTGTCTGTTAAAAAAACAGTAAATAATTCAAATACTTGTTGATGTTTTTGGAGGAGATTTTACCTAGGAAGAATTTCAGAGGCTTGGCTAGCCCTGTCTTACAGTGATTATAATTAGGTTCTTCCATTGTGAAAAACACCAAGGATGGAATACAATGTCTAGACTAAATATCATTAATTACATAGTGAGAGACCCAGAAAGTCACTTACGATGAAGAAATCTGTCTGGCCAAGTGATAAATGTGTGGTGTTGATGGGTTTGATTTTTATATGACAAAGAGAATAGATGCTTGGGAGACTGTTATTTTCAAGGCACGCTGTACAACTACAAAGCTTGGATTTTCTTCCTCAGACACTCTTGTATGTTTCAGATGTATTCTTTGTAACATTAAAAAGCAGAAACTGATTTAGTGTTGTTTTACTTAGATAAAAAAAAATTTAAAGCAGGAAAATTTTGAATCAATTGGTAATTAGAGGTTACTTTCACATGTTGTTAAATATGCATTTACATTTTCTTCCTCTTTTACAGCAACAGTTGCTCGAGTTGTGATCATCATAGTGACAATAACTTTAATGCCTGTATTGGCCATTTTGATTTGTGTAGCCAGTCCATGTAAATCGACTCGTCGCATGTTGCGCCGGTGGACAAATCGTGACCGCGGGGATGTGGAAAATAGACAATTGAGGCCCCGATCCCATGTCTCCGAGGTTTGATGAAATAAATCACTGTTAATCAATATTTGGCAGATGCTGGGTTTTATGAAATGTTGATTTCATTTTTTACAATTCTGATTGAGATTTGATCATGTATTCAAAATTCAGGCTAATATAATGAAAATGCTCAGGAATTTCAATGGTAATGCAAAATTTCATTTTGAGAGAGATTAAGTAAGCCTAAATTTTTAATTTGACCTGTGATATTAAAAAAAAAATTTTTTAAAAATCAGTACAATCACTACTACAATGTATAGGAATTTGAAAAAAATATTTAAGGGAACAGCTTAAGGTACAGCTATTTAAGGTACAGCTATGGTTTTATGAGTAACACATTCTAATTGTGGTTTTCTTGATATTGTAGTCTGGATTTGGTGGAGCAGCAACATCCACATCTTGTGTATCAGCCAGTCAAGAAATCTCAGATCCACAAGAAGCCCTTCTTCGGGAGCGAAGAATTCTGAAACATTCAATGCAAACTGATATGACTATTAGCTTACCACCACAAATACCTATCTCCCAAGATGGAGAGGAAGGTTACAGACAGAGTCAGAAGACTTTAAAACATCTGCGTAAATCTGATGGTTATCAACATTGCTTTAGACCCCCACCCAACAAGACTGTGCATGATAAAGAGAGCCCCCCTCCTTATTACTCTCATTCAGCTTCTGCCATAGATAAAGTCGGCCACTCTCCGCTTAAAGTCGGGGGAAGTCCTGACAGTCGAATGACGTCCAGCGACATGTTGTCTCGGTCGTACAGTATGTCAAACAGCAATCATTATCATGACCCTTCTGTAACAAGGACTAATGCCAGTAATGGGCGTGGGAGTTCACCCATTCACCAAGAGTTGCATACGTCCAATTTTGAACCCCCTAATTATCATACATTATATAATACTTCTGATGACAAAGTTTGATAACTTGAGAGATGTTGCTGTGCGTGCAGACACTCTAAATGGCTGGCAGGCAGGTTAATTCTGTCAAAACTAGTGAAAGAGCCTACCCTGCTTTTTTTGCTCTCTTTAAAAGAAGACAAAAAGATTCATCGTATATGACACACTGAATCGAAGCCCAAGTCCTTCTCATGAACAGCATTCAGTGTAGTGAAATAGTTGTGATATGAAACAGTGATACGAGTGAATGCTTGTTTAGTTACTTGTGTTGGCCATCATTTACCTTTAGAGGCTTATTTCTCTTAGCCATTCTTATGACTCTATTTCATACTTGTTGCTTTCTGTGTTTATGTTACAAAGACATGAAAACCAGCAGCAACACAATGGAGGTTAGTCTTTACTGATTCTTAACCTAGAGAAAGAGGAAAAGGCTGTGAATAAATGATGATCTTTGCCTAAAATGATCTCCACTGATTTCCCAGTTTGTTCATTGAAATATCAACAGTTGATTTGAAACGGTGCATCTAGAGATGTTGATAATAGTTATCAACATTGTGTTATGCATAGTTAGCGTTTTGATATTGAAAGATGGACAGTCTGCATTTTTATTTTACATTTCATCATAGTTGAAAACTTCATAGAAAACTTCATTTTTAACTTTGTAAAGTTTAAACTTTGATATGTAAAGCTAAAGTTGGAGGTGTCAAAATGTCTTCTTTTGAAATTGTTAATTAAAAATTTATCTTCCATGTGCAGGTCTAAAAGCTGGAAAGGCCAGAATAGTTGAATTCATTTTACATATTGTAAATAAATATTAAGACCTCCATTGCGCAGCGGTATCCACACACATTTTTGGGTGTGATGCTTATTTCATTATTGAAGCTAACTTGACTTTGGGTGCTTAGGAAGATAAAAGACAATTTTTGATTACATATTTCCGTAAACAGTATATACACTTTTCTGAAGGAAATGGGCATTTTTTTTTTTTATTAATTGCTAAACATGAATTTAGTTATTCTGGTCATAGTCACAGCTCTTACATTTTCCTTTAATTTTTCTTTTCAAACATTTGGTAGAATATTTGTTAGTGAATTTTCATATGTGTAAAAGTATGTGAGAAAAAAAATTTTAAATTGTTTTCAGTGTATATAATTCTATGCTGTCTTATTTTAAATGTATATTTACCTAAATGGATTGACCTTTTAAGAGGTTGTAGTAAATTATTCCATGGTCATACAACATTAAAGTGCACATTTTAACAACAAGAAAAAAAAATGGCAATTATATATAAGGATATATGTGCAAGTGTGGTTGTATTGATATTGTCAAGAAATTGTATAGGATTTCAAGAAGTGAATTTTTGGACACAAATTTGGTTGTCTTTGTTACACAGTGTACGACATCATTGGTTTGTGAGGTTTTGTTGCAGTTGTTTACTGTTTAGCGTTCCATGTTGCACAATGAAATGGCATTATTTGAAGGTTTTTTTGTGATATTTCTTATTTTATCAATTATTTAACAATATTTAATTCGCCTGAGGCCATGTTTCAAGTGAATTTTTTTCTGATCAGAGGTTGTCTGTAAGCTAATACACTATAGATAAAGGGAATTAATTAGAAAATGATTTTAAAACCATTGGGCCTGGAATGATGAAAGTAGTGTGATGTTCAACCTTCATGTTGCTGGTTTATTCAAATTAAGAACTCCAGGGGGGCCATAATAAGGTCCTGATTTTCTCCTAGCACTGTTTAAAGATATGATGTATATTATTATTTATTTATTACTAAAATATATATTCTCGAGAAATTATCAGATTAGTTTCAAATTTGATTAAGTCATGTCTTTTTTCATCCTGAATTCAGATTGTGAGACTGGAGGGAAATTCCGGGTTGTATATATACTAGATGATTAGAAAAAAAATCTTTTTAAAACCTGTTAGTAACATGCAGTCAACATTTTATTATAATCCTATTTGAAACTTTCTCAAAAGATTAAATTATGGCTCAAAGGGCCTAGTATGGCATTGAAATATATGTCATATTAAGAGCTAGGAATATTGGGTGAGTGGTGTGGACAGTGGGTTTCTTTTTAATGTAACTTTCATTTTTTAAGTTTTAGAATTGAGACATCTCGTACATACTTTGATTCTGAAGTGTCAGAAAAATATTCTATCCAACAACTATTGTGTAATTATTCACTCTAATTCAGGGTGCTTGCAGAGTATATCTGTGTTCTGTGTTGCCTAAGAATTGCTGTCAATTCCCCTTGATCAATGCGGTGTTCAATATTTCATATGTACTCCTTTTTTCAAAAAGCTGTGTTTTCTTGAATGGAAAGGAAATTATAATTTTACTTTCTGAACAATGTTTATGTACACCCATTCTAATATTAGGCATACCATGTTGGTATAATTTATTTTCAAAAGCATTAGAATATTTTGTGGCATCTAGGAATTTACACAGACACATTCTATTCTTAATTCTTTGTAATTTTGTGAATCTCAAAATGCCACTTATTTTTAGGCCAGTTCTATTGACTTTAACCTTCAGAAATATTTCTTTACATTCTTTGTTTGACTGGAAGACTTATGTATATTTAGGTGTTACTATACTGTATTATAGAGTACAGACAGGAGTGTAAAGATTAAGCTTAGATCAGTCAGTGGGGTGTGCATTAACACTTAAAAACTCCCATTTTCAATGTCCTTGGGCATAGCCCTCTCCGAACAGTAGCGAGCCTGAGTTTATAGCTGGGATGAAGGTTTTATGTTGTTGTTGCTTACTTTAGCCATCAAATGGCATTTCATGTATGTCTGTGTTGTTACTTTATCATCAAATATGATGTTGAAATTCTTCATGCTTGTTGCATTTCTGAAAAAAACCCTGAATTCTTGAAATAGATAGCTGATAGACAGAGACAGTTTATTCTCTTATTCAACATCCTTCAACGAAATCGCCTACACAGAAAATTGATTCAATTGTAATGAGAGAGACGCACACATTTTCAAATTGCAGGTTTGAAATTATGCACTTTTGTATGTTGAATAATCCTATCGGGCTAAAAGTTTCAAAAGAAATATGAACTTATTTTATCAAAGCAGCTCTCTTTGGTTGCAATTTAAAAATTGCAACAACAAAAAAAAGATAAACCCTCGGATAATTTTTGAGAAATTTCTACTTATGGGATAATACCACCACCCCAAGAAAAATGGGAAGGAAAAATTGAAGCAGGAAAGTAAACCTCAAATTATGCAAATAAAAAAGGAGTAGAATAAATCCTTGTTAT